AATGCTCTTTTTGTTCAGATTTTCATCTAGGTTACTCTTAATGTAACTGGGCTATAGGATATTGGATAATGCACAAAGAATTTCCCATAACTTTGTAATCCCCCTCCAAATCGCTTTTTCAGGAGTACTTAATTTCAGAATATTTTATGCTTATTAAGAAGAAACATCAAAATACTAAAGCAAATTATCTGCACTGTATTGTTGGCTTAGTGTGCTGCAGTATTAAATTTGAAGGAGAAATGTTGGTATCAGTTACAGTGTAAGACTTTCTTATTTTTTGTTGAAAAACATGATGGATTTAATTGATCCCTGTCATGTAGACAGAGTATTAATATGAAACAAACAATTTATTTGCTCAAACTACCTTTCATTATTTACCATAACTTCAATAAAACGTGTAGAAACATGGCTGTGAGCTTTGACTGTCAGTTTTGTGAAAGCATTTCAACTTTTTTTTCTGTGTAAGTAACTATATTTCTTCAAGCAGTCAGGTAAATGAATATTAGAGATGAAAACCTGCTAGAATCTCACTCTCGTATTGGCGTGTACACACTATGTTTGTGTGCTCATATGATGTGCTGCTGTAGTGTTCTGTCATATACAGCTTCTTAAACAAATGGGTAGTGGCATGATGACGCATGGATGATCACAAGTGGAAGAACAATTCTGATTTCCAAGCCAACTCCAAATAGAGTATGTTTTCCAAACCAGAGTATGCTATATAGTTCCTTCTGGTTTCTGAGGCTAGTTTTTAAAATGCAGAAATCCAGTTGTTCAGATGGTATTTGGAGTGTTTGTATATTGTCTACTGCATCCCTATAATAGGTTTGTAACAAATTCCATAGTTGTTTTTAGGAAAAAAAATCCTGAGTTCAGTAACAGGCATGAGCTTGTACAAGCTTGTGTTTAAATAATAAGAAAGCTTGGAGGTGAAAACATCAGTTGCCTGAAAGAAAGATAGTTTGTTTTCATTTGGGAGTTTTATGCTGTCAGTTGCCTTTGAACATATTTAAGCATCTCAAATTCAAAATGCTTATTCCAGTGTTTCTGAAACTATACTGAATAAACACATTCTTGTTGCTGACCCTTTAAGCACATTGATATTTCTAGTTGGACTCAGGATTCTATTTTTGTTTCTCTGATAATCTTTCCATCATTAAGTGTGGTGTAGGCAAATTCTGTAGTCTGATTATTTTGCAATTACTTTTTTTCAGTGCAGAGTGTTTTCATTATAAGGAAATATTGTTAATATAATAAAACTTCCTATTGTCTTGTACTGGGTTGATTTAAGGTAGGAACTAGGGTCTCCAAGTGCAGGTCTGCAGAACAGGGTCTCGTTGAAAGACACTTGAAGTACATTTTTTTATTAAATGAACCTTTGTCCCAAAGCTGTTGCTTTCTGATGACAGCAGTTTGTTAGTTTCACAATTCTGCACTGGTGTCTTTTCTTGAAAATGTCAAAATGGTATATTTGAAACATTGTTCTTGGGCTTTTCAACTTTCCTCATGTGTTTCGATATCACATCACCTCATACTTGTCCTGCCATACTAAAAGCTACATTGGCTTGCATAAGAATCAACTTGAAAGAGTAAACGTTTCTTTTTCTAAGTTATTGGTAAGTTTTTTTCCTTACAGTGTAATTAAAATAGTAGGTTATGATTAAATGTTGCAACTGGTGACTTCTAGTGTATTTTGGTAACTAGACAGTTGACTTACAGCAATTATTAGTCTACATGTTTAAATAGCATTTCAAACAGATAAAGTCCATAGTGGATAATGAAATAGTACATAGGCTTCTTGCATTAAAGTGTGGTCTTACTTGCATATAGAAAACTATACCATGTTGGTACCTGGTTTTATCTAGGTATTCCAGAATGATGCTGCTCATTTTCATTAAGTTCTATTCTGACATACACTTGAACAAAATAGATGGTGAAGCATTGAAAAATAACTTGAGTCCTAAAATTACTTTGGCACTTCACCTGGTATGAGCTAAGCAGAAGCAACAGCTACTTGACTTGAACTCTGCTACCGTGCAATGCTTTAGGAATGCAAGTGGCTTACTTTATGGTGTCACACTAGAACAATTATTTCTTTTTTCATTTCTTTAGTTCTAAATGACCCCTTTAAAAAAAAGGGGGGGGGGGGGGGGGGGTGTTTATGAGTTTTTATGTCAAAAAGTTCAAATACTGTTATTTGAGCACTTTGTCTCTGCCTTAAGTTATTGAATTAATCATTTAATTAAAATGTCCTTTGGGTTGTCTCCTTCCAGTACTGGAGCTTGTGCGAAGAGAGATCCCTTTTACAGAACTCACAAGTTTATATTAGCTGTTTCTTAAGTGAGACACTATCCTCTGTGTGCGTTTTGCAGGCAAATATTGACAGGCTAATAGGAAATGCAGCTGACGTTAGGAAGCTTGGGTGGGGCTACAAGGAGCTGGCAAATGTTACCGAGTTTAGTGCCAGACTTGCTGACACAACAGTACTTTACTTGTAAAAGTTTTCTTTAGGTTGCTAATTCTGTCTTCAGAGTAACTGGAGCTAAAGCAGTGTCTCTGATGCCAAGTTAGAATAGCTAAAGCAAACGTTTATGGGAAATTGAGAATACTGGTTTCTTTCCACAGTTTAGATCCTCAGAAATATTAGTAAAAGGAACAAGCTCTTCTCTTAAGGAAAAGATGAGTTATAAACAGTGCCTCAGAATGAATGTGCTGCAAAACTCAAGTCCCATCTAACTGTAGTGTAAGTGGCAAAAACAGCTCAAAGAGAGGCTAGCAGTGTAAAGTATCTGCACGCACCAAGCTCTGTCTGTTTTGTATCACAGTTTCCATTTATTTGATTTGCCAGTTCATAGTCATATTTCCTAAGGCATGCTTTTAATAGCCTCCCTTAGCCTTCAAATAAAATTCTTTACTTCAGATGTATCTACACATTGAGAAATGCTATGTTGTTGAATGTGAAGTGTTACAGCAGTTTGACTGTGTCACCTCAAGTATAATGTGTGTTGTCTTGAATTTGTAGTATTTCTGGTCCATGTAAAAGCCTAAGGAGTGGTAAAGCAGAGCTCTGAAGAGGCGTGAAAGTGGAATCCAGCTTCTGTTTGTTTTGCAGAAGTTTACACAGAATATGACTTGCTGCTACCCTGCTGTCTCCATTTCTCTATGTGGGAGGGCTTTCAGGTGACATCATGGAGAGGAATCTAGCAGAGGGGAGGCATGCCTGACTGAACATAAAAACTGGTGCAGTCCTGGTGGAAGGATGCAGCTCTATTACAGAAGCGTTTTTTTTTGTTTTTGTTTTTGTTTTTGTTTTTTTTTTTTTTAATTTTAACATCACTCTTAGATTTTTAGGAAGAGCTTCCTTTCCTTCCCTGGAGTGCGGGAAGTACTTAACAGGACTCAGAACAACTGTTAGAAGAAATGAGATTCAGATGATGAATTTAATCTGTTCAGTGTTTGCTTGGTGCAGTATGCCATGCCAAGTTAGCTTTAATATTATTGCCCCTTTTAAGGTAAGCAGCTGCATTTTGTTCTCTCACAAAAGTAAAACCTCAGTAGGAGATAGAAGCAGTTTTGTTTAGAGCAACTGGATGGCAGTATCTTGCATCTGCTGGAGACATTGGCTTTTGCTGACCTCAGAATTGTAGATCACCTCTGAAGTCACCTGTTCTCTGAGTATTTATCAAGATAAAGTGAAATATAAACAATATATAAGTAGAAGGAAAGGCTATTTTTTAATCATGGAGGTTTATTTCATGATCTATTGTCATATAAATTAAAAAACTAATTAAACTGTTTTTCTCTGAGGTTACCTTTATCATCTTTTGTAGCATCTCTCATCATTTCAATACTGCAACACTGTGAAGTCTTTCAGACCAAAATTTGTCTTTTTCTGAAGACTAGCATTTAGAAAATTTGCTTTTAAAGCTATGAAATGTAAACTGTTGCTTTCTGAAAGCTATGTAGCAAATTACTATGTAGCCCATGATTTGACCAAATCAAACTGTACAGCACATCTGTGTTGTTTTTGGTGGTGATCTGTTCTCATGTCTCTCTGGACATTATATAGCACATCTCTAGGATTTACAGTTCTCTCCCAAATTGTTACCTATGCTGTTTCCCCCCCTACATCCCCCCAAGTATGTAAATTTTCTTTCTCAACCAGATCCTGGATTTAACAGTGTGAATGTACCCAGAAAGGCATGTGTGTCTCAGCCTCATGTAAGGGGCTTGGAGGACAGGTTTGGGGAAGAGAATAGAGGCTTATTTAACAAAAGATTATTTTCCTTTGAGGTAATAACAGATGACTTTTGGAGAATGTTAAGTCTTTATCTCAGACACTCAAATTTGGTGAATGAAGGAGGGTCCGATAGCTGTAGTGGTGACTCTTTGCTTCCAGGGAGGAGTTCCTTTGTTGGGTAAAAGTTGTGCAGTATCACTGAAGTGATCTGCACAGTGTCCAAGATTTAAACTGTCTCATGGGATGTATTGCTGGCATTCTCTGTGGCCTATTTAAGCATTTCTGTTTACAGATGTGTAAAGTCAGCTATTTGCAGTGCAGTGAGACTGCACTTCCTGTGGGTTGAATGGTGTTGCTTAACTGTGGTCAGCTGAATTCCTTGGACAAGAGTTGAATTTTTGTAATGTGAAGTCAATAGACTTTGCCAACAATAGCTGGCAATGAATGCACGTGCAAGGCTAGCATGAAATAATTTCTGATAATGTATTAAATAGTGGACTCCGTTCTTCATCTTTTTCTCCGTGGTTCTGCCAAAAGTGAGCTGCAAGAATGGCTTTGTAATTATCCATTACAGCTTTCACACTAACTCTTTACCTGTGAGCAGGATAATAAACTATGAATGTATAGAATTTTTATAAAATTCATGGACAGACTTGTGGTTTGACTTCAGAACACTTTTTCAGAAACTTAGTAGCTGACATCAGTTTTCTTGGACACTCATACAATTTGAGTATCAAAATTATTTTTTTCTTTTTTTCAGATGGAGCAATTATCAGATGAAGAACTTGACCATGGTGCGGAAGAAGATAGTGATAAGGAAGACCAGGATCTGGACAAGATGTTTGGGGCCTGGTTGGGAGAACTGGACAAACTCACACAGGTTAGGGAGTTTTCAATCATTTTGCAGAATAATTATTTTTAAGTATTACATGTTTCTTTTCAGTTGGATACTAACTGCTTAGCACTGCCACTTGCAGCAAGGTAGGCTGTAGCATGTGACCAGCTCAGTACTCTTGAAAGGTTTCCAAATTTGCTTGCAAATTTCCTCATCTCAAAGTTGTTAAATTCATTTTTCACAACCTGCTAGTTTGATCTCTCCCAAAGGGTATAATTCCTTCTGACAGCTATAGAATTGGTATTTTGTCATCATGTGTATAGAAAAATACTGACTTTAGCTGGCGAGAGGTGGGCTATATCTCCAAACATATGCTTGTACATTGTCCAGCTATGACAGTATTTATTTGTTGCATCTGAACAGCAATAAGGAAGAAGAAAAATTGTGAACGTTGCCACTGTTGACATGGTAAGGTGCCCTGGTACACCTTAGAGGACTTACTGTTATTCCATAGTACTCTTCCTGCATCAGAGGGGCAGCTGATGGGACATCTTCTTTTGGCACTTCCATCTTTCTAGTGCTTTTCCTTTCCTTCACAAGCAGATCTTGTGTTTTGCATGGTATGCCAGACTCCTGGAGTGGTAGGCCATTTCTCTGTGACTGCCTGCTATGGTTTTTTTTGGCCATGTGAGCTGGCCCTCCTGAATAACGTGTTTAATCTTCTCCCTCTTTGTCATGGAGACTTAAGCAAAGGTATGATACCTCAAGTTTTAGTAAGCTAGAGAAGAGGCAGCTTTTCTCATCTTCATCTTATCTAAAGACTGAAGGAAGATTGAGCTCATCATCTGGTAGCATTTCAATTTCAGACTCGTCTGGTTAAATCTCTGGTTGCAAGATCTAAATGTAGATAGCACTCTAGGGGAAAATGTTTTTGGTTTTTTTTTTTTCCTGAACTTGTGCATGCAGGGCAATAAAGATCCTGCTGTTTGTGATGAATAGAAGACAGTGTGAAATATATCTGTGTATCATAATTTTTGAGGATTTTTAAACTTCCTATGAAGGATTTTTAATGGTAAGTGGGAGCTGTTTTGAAGGCATGGAATCTGTAAATGACCTCGACTGAGGATCTTCAGCGGAACACAGTGGGATACCCCATTTTTTTTGAGGTATCAGCAGCCTAGAAATATAAGCACACTTTACTTGGGGCTTACAGCTACGCTATTGACATACAGACTTTACAGTCATGTCTCAATTTATGTGCTGATCCATGCAAAATTCTTAAAACCTACTAACATAGTTAAGGGGAAGACCTATGTTATTTGTTTCTCACTTTAATACTGCTGTACAACACTGTCTGCAACATAGCCTGACATTTGCCCTGTCTTTTGTGACTACTGAGAAATGACATTTCCCCCAAAACTTTGAATAACCTAATGTGGTTTTGTATAAGCAAGTTAATGCAGTTCGTTGTGTCTCAGTTTGTTTGTTTGGAAAGTGATTGTGTCTTGATGCAGCTATCCCAATAAAGTCTGAATAAAGAGGCTTGGTTAGACCTAATGAGCTCCAGAGTGCATTCTGCTGTAGTCTCTGCATTTGTTGCTATTTATCAGCTGGACTCTGAGAGCAGCAGGAGGAAAGGTTTTTTGTCCCCGAGTTCCTTGAACTTTAACTTCCTTTTTAGATTTCCTAAATGTTTATTTTGCGGGGATTGAAAGTAAGACCCAGATTCCTTTCCAGATGGAAGTGTTTTTTAAAAGAGTTGTAATTGTTAAGATGCCCATGAGATTGTTTGAATTCACTTTGCCCTCTTTAACTGTCTAATAAAAGTATTATAAATGTAGTCTTGTGGCATGTGTGAGCAGTGTTTGGCACTGATGCAGAGTGCGTTAACGTTTATCCTGCTCTAGTTATCCTACTCTATAGTGCAGCTTAAATGAAGGAAATCTTACCTTGCTTGTCATGATCATTCAGAACTAAGCTTTTGGTGCTGTTGCAGTTTTCAGCAGTTCGCCAAACTGCTAGTTTAGCATCATAATGTGTCACAGAGAATGTGCTCTGATAATAGTGAGAGCATAACCCATGTGTTTCCAAGGATGTGAAATGACTTAATTATTATTAAATTCAGAATTTTAGATGCTTTTAACTATATTTGCTTTACAGGTGGTCTTTTATGGCAGTCTGTGGGTTCAGTCTGAAGTAATATGCTCAACTTGCCTCTTTTGTCTGCAGTTTCACTGCTGCCTCTAGGGTTATAGACAGTTTGGGGTTTTTTTCAGCTATTTTGTGTGGGACAATATGTAAGCTCTATCAGAGGCACTAGAGGTGAGATTTTTTTTTTTTATTATTTTTTTTTCACCTAATGGAAAACAAGGCTGCAACACTGGCTTCTCCTCGTTAAGTCATGATTGACGTCCCAATAAAGTGATTTAAAAGAAAAAAAAATTAAAAAATCAAGCGAAACTAAGGAGAGAAAGGAGTTCAGCAAAAGTAAATATTAGGGAAAAAAATATTGCATTTGATTTTTATCAAAGGTGTTAGTAAAGATGTAAAAAATTAAAATAAAAAGCTTAGGCGAGAAATTTAGTACTGTTGACACTAGAAGATGCTTTTCTTTCAGACAAGCATATCTTCAGGAGAGCTTTATCAGTATAAGCATTGCTTAAATTAAAGCCCTCTGCAGGCCTGTCATGCCTCAGCGACAGCAAGAGCTAGATTCCTCATGTAATACTTGTCGCTGCAGGGGCAGCAGCTCTGGACCCTGTCATGCGCCTGTTGGGTCACCAGCTGGATGATAGTGCCCTACTGCTTGCTACTTACAAAAATGCTGGTATTTATTATAATATTATATCCATATTAGCCTTCATAATGTAACAATTCAAAGTATTGGGTAGAAAGGTGTCTTCTCTCTCTTTTTTTTTTAAAAAAAAAAAAAAAACCCATATTAGTTTTTCTAAAAAGAACTTCTACATAAAGCAGCTAGAGTTTGCTTTCACAATTTAATATTTTTCTCAGGAAAGGCTTATTGAGAAAAATGTCTGAATTTAGCCCATTTAAAATTTCTTTTAATAAAACAGAATTCTTCATTGAATGCTTTTGTGTGCTTATGCCATGGTTTTTCTTATAAGCTAATGGTGCATTTGTTAGAGAGGGTGCCACAGTTTGAATGTGTTTAGATACTTCTGCAGTTTACTGCAGAGTTTTGACAGGTAAGCCAGCTCTGTTTCAAAATGAGCTAGTATGTAACACCACTTAAAATATTTGAATATGTACTTGGAATATATTTTTGTCCTTTTGATTCTAAAAAAAACCAGAATGTGTTTAACATATTTTCTGTGTAGCATGGCGATGTATGTTTTCAGTCTAAAGCCTGAAAAAGATTTTTTTTTTTATATGCCAGGAGTTTTTGAAAAATTTCTCTTAGAGAAAATTAATTTTTATTCATCTTGAAGATTTGTTTGTCCAGTTTCTTCTCAAACTTTATTCTGCCCTTTTTTTCTTTTTTTTTTCTTTTTTAGAGTTTGGATACAGAGAAGCCTGTGGCACCAGTGAAGAGATCACCTCTCCGTCAGGAAACCAATCTTGCCAACTTCTCATATCGCTTCTCCATGTACAATTTGAATGGTTTGTTGAATTATTTATCCCCTCAAATATTAGTTTATGAAAAAAATCTGTTCCAGTTGTGAATCAGAACATTGTAAAATATAAAGAACATTTAAATACACTTCTAACTGAAGTGAGAACACGTTTGCTGAAGGCATTACTTTCTGATGACAGAATTTTGAGTATCCTAAAGCAGTACCTTTTACAGCACCTAGTATCTGAGAATTGTAGTCTAGTGTTTGTACAGAACGTTCTGGGATCTGATCTCATGAAAGAATGAATTGATGTGTATCTGTTAAATGGGAATAAAGAGCATCTTGCTTCATGGCACAGGATGCAGGAATATAGCTACAGAATACTTTCACATTAAACAAAAGTTGTGTTTTTGCTTAAGATACCTTCCCCTGGTTGTATTACAAGAAGCTTTAATTTAAAGGCTTGAGTATGGGTTTCGTATTTTGTGGTTTTTTTATAAAAGTGTCACATACCTTATATTGCTTTAGCAGAAAATGCTTAGCAAAACGCCTACGCTCTTTTGAAAAGCTGAGGCATGATATTTTACGAATGTATTTTTAGATTCTGTTCACAGGACAGCGGTTTAAACTTTTCAAATGTAATCTGAACATTCATAGATTTCTTCTGTCAGCAAATGTATTTAACCTAAATAGTGTTGTGGTTTTTCTTTAATTGCTCTTAGATTGGTCAAGAGTAGTAATACAAATAAATTTCTGCTTAGCAGTGAGCAGAGATTTTGCAATACAAATGGGAAAAGAAAATATAGCTTGCTCTGCTCCCTTACCCTAACTGTTAAATTTGATAACACAAAGTGAAGAGTTGTGCAGACAAATGAAGTAACTCTGCATGTACTGAAAGCTCTTATTTGTTGCAGAAGCCCTGAATCAGGGGGAGACTGTGGATCTAGATGCCCTCATGGCTGATCTCTGTTCCATAGAGCAGGAGCTCAGCAGCATTGGGTCTCACTCAGCAAACAATGCTGCAGTGAAACACCTTGCCACAGAACCCAAAGCTCAGAAACCAGCTGCTAGCCGACCTTCTGCTAAGCACAGCAGCACGAAAGGATTATCCTCCTCATCTGGTAAGGTGACTAAACCATCACATGCCAACGTATCTTTGGATGACATCACTGCACAGTTAGAGAAGGCCTCTTTGAGTATGGATGAGGCAGCGCAACAGTCTGTTGCAGAAGACACCAAATCAGTAGTTACTACTGCTCAACACAGGAGGACAGCATCTGCTGGCACAGTGAGTGATGCTGAAGTGCGCTCAATCAGTAACTCCTCCCGTTCCAGCATAACCTCTGCAGCTTCCAGCATGGACTCCTTGGATATCGATAAGGTGACGAGACCTCAGGAACTGGACTTGACATCACAAGGGCAACCAATCACTGAGGTAGAGTGTCATTAATTCAAGATTTTTTCTTTGGTTTGGGGATTTTTTTCTGAAAACTTTTTTTCTTTCCCCTCCCTCACCCTTCTTCTCTCATGTTGACACTCCAAGTGAAACATCTTCAGTGCAGTGGGGTTAATTTAAGATGAAGATTACTTTTACATGGACTTCACATGCTGTGACTACTTCTTTCTTGTTGTTTCTGTCTGCAAGGAATCTTTTTAAAGAATATGTACTTTTTTTTTTAAGGGCTTTCCCCATCTCTTCCTCCTCCTAAGCCAGTAATGGATTTTAATATTTTATAGTTAATGTTTTTGTTCTTAGTAAATCTCATATACTGCTTCTAATTTAAATCTGAGGAGAACATGGCTATGGGAAAAAGGAAGTATAACTGATAAGACCACATTCCTGTTACAGTACACTTAATACCTGAAATGTGGAACAATTTATGAGAGCCTATCTGGAGCTATACTATGCTGCTACTTAATATTCTTATTTAATGTATGACAGGGAGAACTATTTGAAGCAATGCACAACACAGGAAAAACAACTGGGCTGGAATACAGCAATAGCAGATGTTCATTTGGGATTTTGGTGCCTCGGCATTGCTTAATCAGTGAGGAAACTTTTCAGTAAAAACACAGCCAGTTTGGGGAATGTTGAGCGTGCTGGTGACTTGTATGAGGAAATGGGGAAAATGTTCTGGTGAGTGTAGAGAACTTAAACTAGAATCTGTCTTGTAGATATATTCTCTGAAATAGAAATGTGTTCAAAAGTCAGTCGTACTAATATGCATGTTCTCTTTTATGGGTGAAAATAGGAACAAGCTGGGCTTATTCTAATCAATAATTAACACTGATTTGAATGAGCTGTGCTGAAAGTGTGCCTCTACCCATCTGCAGCAAAAGTTCATCTCATGTAGAGAGTGAATGATGCAGGCTTGTCAGTATAATGATCAACTCATCAAGGTCACACTTAGATTTAAATCATTATTTGAAATGGTGAGAAATTAATGAGTAACAGTTTAAGTAAAATTTCTTTTTGTATAAAAAGTTAGTGTGCAGTATAGTTTTATTGGAGAGTCTTACTGAGTGAAGCAAAACAGAGGTAGATAGAAACATGTCCTTTTCTCTTTGAAAAGTTAAAATGCAAACCTTTGCATTATTGCAGTAGGCCTGAGTGTTGGAGTCAGCCTATGACAATCATTGATTATATTTTGATTGTCAAGGATTTTCTTTCTGTGGTATGACAAGGCTTATTTTTGGCTTTTTTGGATCTCTGACTGTTATTCATGCTGATTTATCTTTTTTTTTAATGTAGAAAGTTAAGCAGTATTGCATTTTTGTGTCTCAGGCTAAAAAGATTATTGACTTGGATTAGTTGCTTCTATTACTTGTATAAGACAAGAAAAACTTGAATTTTGCATTTTTTAATTTTTAAAAATGCAGGATGATTTCTGCAGTTGATTTTGCAGGTGTCCCTCCAGATCTCAGCCCCTCTTACTTCAGGAGTGGTATGCTTTAGGCATCAGTAAGATTGCTGTTCTTGTCTCCCGGATTTTTCAGTTCTTTGCATGGCATGAGTAATTAACAAACCACCTACTGCACTTCAGTAATTTAATGTTAGTGAATCAAGAGACAGACGTCAAGAAATTAGCTTCCTGTGAAGACAAAGCAATCTATATTGCTGAAAGTGTTGCAGTTGCTTTCTCAGTTGCTTTCAGAGCTCTTAGCCACTGACTGCAAGGCTCAAAATCACTCCCAAAAGCTTTTCTCACAGACATGTGAGAGCTGCCTTTGTAAACCCAGTGATTGCTTCTCATAAGAATGTGGCTATTGTTTCTCTGCCCAGATAAGTTGGTAAGAATGATTCCTTTGGAGGAGGTAGCCAGAAAGTGTCCTCGAGAGCCAAATTCTGCTTTCCTCTTGAGAGCAGAAATCTCTACACACGTTAACAGTGCTGCTTTGGTTTTGCTCTGTTCTTTTTAATTTCAGTAGCCTGGCGAAGATGTTCAACTCTGAGAAATTTTCCCCAAGTTTACAAAATTGGTATTCAGCTATTCAGTATTAAAACTGTTATGTGATGGGATGGGATTTTTTACTGTGAAGCAGCTTTTTTTTTCTCATCACTGGTGAACAGAGAAGGGGAAAATTACATTTGTTTGGAGTTTGTGACAGATGCTGTGGTGCTGGTTTTTAAATGAAATTCGCCTTGTAAATGGGCCAGTGTACCAACAAAGGAGTTTATTTCCTTTTTCATTCATTTAGTGCCTGAAAACTACTGTTTAGAGGTTTGTTAATCTTGATGACTAGGTTGTGAACCAAAGCACCTTTTCCTAGTAGGGCTCAATTCTACCCTCCAACCCACACAGTTGACTTAAAGGTGCTGTTTCTAATAGAGGACATTCCTCTGAGGAAGTAACCTTTGAAGAATACCTAGTACCTGTGTAGGAAAAAAAAAAACACCCCAGTTTTTATGCAGAAAGTGGGAGAGGCTGTTACTTCATGGCCATAGCAGATCTCTTTTGGGACTTGTTATTCTCACATAGTGTTTCAAGTTAACTCTTTTCTTATTACCTGTATTTCTTGAGACTGTCTGTAGATGAGCTGACCTTTAAAATTTTTCTTTGCTGCTATGGCTCTTACAGAAGAGGTCAGTGACTTGGCAGCTCTGCCCTTTTGACTGATCCTTTCTGTCCTCTCCAGGCAGTATAGGTACTTTAAAAAGTCATCCTTTATTCCACAATTTAATGTTATGCTCTTCCTCTTGTGATTCCAATAAAACTGAGTAAAACAGAAGACTGTTTTGATAGGAGGACGTGGTTGTCTGAAAAAGGAAATTAAGCTTTGCAGTTATTAACTTCAGTATTCTATCTTAAAAAAAAAAAATCTGCTCTGTATTTAAGAGCTCTTTGACCTGGAAATATAGGGAAATCCTGTGAAAGAACTACCATGCAGTGGCCCACTGAAGGTATGTGTAGTCTAGTATCCTTGCAGCCTCAACCACAGCCACCAAAATTGGGAGGATATGACTTCCCTTTCACTTTCTTCCTTCCCCAAAGCTCTTATTTACACTGTTCTCATCTCCTTACTTGTCCCAGCTTTGGTGCTTACTGGTTCTTAACACACCAGAAACTTAGCACTTTTATTCTGGGGCTCATTCTGTGTTATTTGGGTGAATTGCATAGGCTCACAAGTGTCTGGTGTGTGCTGATGCGCAGTTGGGGGACTGTAGCCAAGAACTGGAGGCTGGAAGGGAGAACAGGAATACACCTATTGGTGCTAGTGGATTACTCTAATCTTTTTGCCTGGGAAATTTGACAGGCACCTTAGCGTTGTCTTCCTCTTCTTCCTAGCAGTCTGAGCTGTAGGATCTTCCTGGGGTTGAAGATACCTTAGCATCATGGCAGATGATAACTGTGGTCCTATCCTTGTTGTTCTCATTCTAAATTTATCTCAGTACCTCTTTCAGGAGAGCTGACTGGAACTTCCTCGGTTGTCCAAAATAATGGTTTTATTAGTTGCCACCATGATTTGTTTAATTTTCTCTCTTTCATAACAATTCTTAAAACCATCTCTTTGGACACTGTGAACATTTGTGAATATTAATGTATTCAAAGACTATTGCTTTGTAGGCTTGAGATCTGGTCCTGGTGGTACTAAGTGTTGTCTGTCTGCAGTTATGTTCTTATCTTCAGTCTCCTCTAAGCATTGCTGAATAAGAAAAGTTGTTTCCACCCCAACCTCCCGTAGTTTTTGCTAAATTGAAGTTTGCCTTTCACAAAACTATTTCCCAAATCCTTGCTTGAATAGTACTCTTCCTTAAATTGATAGATTACATTTTGTTTTCTGTGCTTTTAATTGTATAATGAGTGGTGTACACTTTAAATCTTGATTTCTGCATGTGAGATACTTGCATGTAGACTGAAGGAGTGATGTAATAGCATGAGTTAAAGGTAGAGGAAGTGAGGACTACATGACTAACTTGTCCCTTCCACCCACCCATATTATCTTTTTCCTTCTTCCTTTCTCCTCTGCCACTAAGAAACTGCCTCTATTTTCAGTGAGCTGTGCTAGACCAGTGGGAGAAGAAAGCAGTGAGAAGAGGATAGAGAACTGTGGTGATCATGCTCATATAGCTAGTTATGTCTGATCGGTGAAAGGATCTATTCATGGACAGTCATTGCTACTGTCCTGCATATACTCAGTGAAGAGGTTGCAGGGAAGTTTGAAGTCTGTCATCTGGTCTGGCACAATACAGCATCACCCCCCCTCCCTCTCAACTTTCATACAAAGGTAATGCATAATTTAGCTGTTGGTAATGCTACATGATTTATTATTATTATTATTTTTATTTTTTTTTTTTAACTCTTACTTAAATTCATTGTAGTTTTAGGCTTGATGTATAAGAGGTGAAAATCATTATAGGGGACTGCCAGTGCATTAAAACTACAGTTTCTTTCCTTCATTCGGCAGAGAAGGTAGCAGTATAGAGTAAACTTTAATGTTTCTTTTGGAGAAAACAAGGGAGCTTTGGGGGCCTGACAGTAATGGTTGGCAGTAGTGTCTTTAAATAGACGTAGAATGCTGGACCTCAGATATTATTTGTAGATGATTTAAAGAACAGTTGGGGTCTATTTTAGATCTTGAAGGAACTAGCTCTTATTTTGGGAGCTCCAAGGTTTGAGTAGTTTTCCTTATGTTCCATGTTTTGTGTGGTTAGCAGATGTGAAGGAAGTTAGTCTCTGATTTGTGAGAGTAGTCACAGATATGCAACAAACAAGGCATGACAGACATTTGTTTTGTGTTTCTTCTAAAGATTCTTAAAAAAATTAATTTTCTGCCAGTTCTGTTATGTCCTTAGCATATTCTGGAGTGTTTCCAGTTATCCTTTTCCTAAGCTGAAAATAGTCAATGGAAAGACTTAATTTGAAACACAATTAGACAATCTCTTCTTCTTTCTTTTTTCCAATTATTAGTCACAAAGTGTTTTTTAATAAGCCAACAGTAAAGGAAATTTGTGCATATCTATCATCTTGAAGCATTACTTTGGCTTCCAATTTTGTTGGCATAAGAAGTCTGAGCCATCCAGTTTTCATATGTTCTTGAAATACATGTAAAATGACTTTTCACTTGCCAGAGTTTTGGAGGCTTTCAAAACATCCTCTGAGGTAAACATATCAGTTTATGAAATATAAACAATACTTAAGTATTTTGGTAATCAGATGTGTTTGGCTACTCATCATGAAGTTTATGCATGACAGTAAAACAGATTTGTCTGTGATGCATTTGAACCCAAAGATTAATAATACTCTGTCTCCAGTGTCTTCAAAACTAGCATCTAAACTTTTTTTTTTCTGCATTATATTTATGGAGTCTGCAAAGCAAATGATGGGAAGGGATTTTTTGGTTTGTTTGGTTTTGGATGGGTTTTTGTTGGTGGTGGTTTTTTTTAAAAAAAAACTTTAAATTGGAATCCAAGGGAGGCATACTAAAAGTTTAAACTACTGCAAATGCGTAGAATCATAGGTTTTAAAAATTGGGGTATAAAGATTTAAAATAAGTTAAAGGGAAGTGGGAACCTAAACACTATTCTTGTACTGGTAAATCTTGATTGTCCGATCAGTGTGTCTGACTTATTTCCTAGCCATGAATTTAAAATTTACCCTGTAGAGAGATCACTAATTAAAGCATAGCAGGAACCATAAAACATGTAAAAAATATATTTATCTTCTGAGATTGCTTGTTCGCTTTGCCTCACACTGATGAATAAGCTTAAAAGTTCCCTCTATGGAAGGAAGAGGAGAATGGATAGTGTGATACATGTCTTGTTTGACACAGCTAACTGGCAAAGCTGGTATCAACTCAAATATTACAGTTATGGTATGCGGTTTTTTCTGGTCTGGTCGTTCTGTGATGTTGGAGTCTTTTATGGATGAGCAAGTGAATGACTCTGCTATTCCAAATACATTTATCTGCAGTTAAAACTGCTTCTTCAGAAACTTTCCTGGTAGCTCCTTGTATGTGGCAGTAGTGAGATGACTGTCTCCAGTAAAGTCAAAGGATGATCAGTTAGAATTTACCTGCTTGACCTTTCTTCCATTGTGTTCTTCTGGAGATACCAAACACTTGATGGTTTCTATTTTCTGGCTGTTCCGACTTTTTTAAGATGAAGGCAACACAGTTCAAGGTTCATCAGCCTTCACTTTTCAGTTGCAGTAGACTCTTGCCTATTACAAGAGAAGAATGTGAGCTGGTGGCAGTGGTAGTCAGCTGAGCCGGTACCCTCTTAAAATGGTTAGACTTCTGTGTGTGCATGTACATGTACTTTTTTTTATTAGTAATGCTAACAGTAAACAGCTGCTGGTGCTGATGGACACTGCAGTCCAGTGACCTTTTTTATTCTTTTAGATTCCTCTCCTGCCTCTTTATGGGCATTGATTAGAGAAGTTGCTGTGTAAATAACCACTTTTAAAACTACATCTCACTGCTTTCATGCCAGTTCCACTGCACTCTAGAAAAATACTTGTGTTTATAGTAGGATTTGTTGAGAAATAACTATATCATTGATACAGATAAGCTAATAAAATGGTTGCTCAGAAGTTGTAACTCTTACTAGATTAATCTGCAAGAGACAAAATACCATAGATCAATGACCAAGTAAATCTAAGCAACATAACCTCTTGGAAGAAGCAGTCTTGGAGCAAGCCACTAGACCTGATTTGAGAAATAAGAATTCTTGCCTTATGATGTTACCAAATTTTGTTAGAAGCACTGCAGGAAGTTGTATGCTTTGGTTGCAGTTTCCAGTGAAGGCATCAGTCTACAAGTTGTGATTAATTAATGGAGCTTTCAAAACAGCCAATTTCTTTGTAGATATACCAGTCCACTTAATACCAAGACAAATTCCTTTACTTTTTCTAGATTAGGGATGAGAAATACTACATCTGTAGGAAATTAGCAACAGATTATTTGTTTGTCCTTAATTCAGGTTGCCAAAAAACAAATTTGGAACAGATGACAGAAATTAAGAACACAGCAGCCAGTTATGGAACACTAAACTCTTAAGAGCGGAAAAGAATTTATGCAGTTTTCTTTAGCTGCATATACATCTATCTTAGAGGATGAAAACTAGGGTTCGGCAGGTTTGTAAAGGAGTTTGAACTCAAAACATGAGACTGTGTTCTGAAGAAACAACTAAGAACTGGCCTTTTAGCTGTGTCAGTTTTGCACATGCTGGTTTGTGTTTAGTCTGTGATAGTATATTAAAAGTACTCTGCAAATAAAAAGAAAAGTCTTTGTTTCTCTTTAACCAGTTTTACAGCCTTTATTCAGTTTCCTGTGATAGACATTTACTAGTCTCATGTTTGTGAAAGTTATTCAAGATTTTTAGACCAGCCACATCAGTGGTTTGCTTTATGAATTGAGGTTTAATTTTTTTTTTTTCATATGACTTATCTGCTTTTAACCAAAAGTATAGATTTGTGACTTTAATTCCCCAGCTGTGTATACCCGTTCTCTTCTGGTAATAGATCTTTGGATGATTTGATGCCTACAGTCATTTCGTTAGGACTGATTCATAGTTTAGAAGTCAACAGACATATAAGCAAATGTTAGTTAATACAGTCACTACTTAGTGTAAAAGTCAGCAGATTTAAACAAAACCAATTAAAGCTATGTGTAATTTTATTCCTTAGGTACTTTGATGTCTTGTTTTCTGTGCTGCAAGTAGAGCCCTTCACAGGATGAAGTATCTGATATTCTTCCTCTAATGCAGTTATGCATGAATTAGTTGTACTAAAATTTGGAGAGTTTTTTTCCCCCTTCTTTCAGTCTTCCACTTATTGCATCTGTCTTTGGATAGATCAGACAACCATTTTGCATTATACTCCATCTTATTTATTTATCCTGTTATTATTTTTTTTGTTGTTGTTTTGGAAAATTCCACTACTTGAAACCTTCTCCCTGCAGACAAACTGTTTGGGATTTCTTGTTTGGTTTGCGCTAATTTGGCTCCATGCTACTGCTGAATTGGACAGTCTTGCCCCATCTTGTATTGGCACTGGTGTTTGTGCAGCTGCCTAGGGATTTCGGTCAATTTGTGCTCTCCATGAAAAATAATCCTCCTGAATTAGTTGTTCATTGATCCACTGGACTGCATGGTCAAAATCACTACTGTCCTCACAAAGAGATGTGAGAGCACATGGTTGGGGAAAGTCAGGACTACCTCTTTCTTCTGGCACTTCAGTCTTAAATTTCTTAAAACCAGTAGTGAAACTGAGCCCGAACTGAAATGTTTACTAGCTTTTGCACTCCTTTCTGTCCTGCTGTGTCCCAAGGAACTTGTGTTTGACAGGGAAGCATCACAACCTGACCTGGGAGGTGCATGGACTAACAAATAGTGTACCTCATGCACATGGTGCAGCAGTTTCTTGATCTGAAAATGTCCACAGACATTTGCTGCATGTTTCACAAATTGCAGCAAAGTTCAGTAGGTTTAGACTGTAACTGTCAGAACTGACATGAAGTTATAAGCATCCCCAGCAGTTAAGAAATACTTGCTGTGAATTAATGTTTTTTTCCTTGATTGTTCAGGGTTTTTTGTTTGTTTGTGGGTTTTTTTAAGTTGCAAAATGAAATACTTGGAGTTAGGAAATTCCAGTTGCTTGCAGTGAAATGGAGTTGCTTGAGTTCCAGGAGGAGGGTTGGGCACTTGCAAGTACAGAGTAATACCTCCAGATTCTCACTTTCCATGTCTGGTTCCAATATGCTCTGCAGCAGCCTGGCATTGCAATTTAAAGAAGGCTGCTGTACTCTCGCACCAGGGACCCATGCGTTCTCAAACTTGACAAATCTTCTGTTCAAGGCTAGAAGTGTGCAGTCCAGTTGAAGGGCTGGGCAGTGCTCTGAGGGAGGATGCAGCCTTGAGGTTTTTTTAATTGTAATGCTCCAGACTTACTGAGACTTTATGAACTACAATTTTAATTCTAAAGGCTTATGCTCAGATAAATTTGGGCAACTTCCCATGGGACAGCACAAAGCAAGTCTTTGAGGATGATCTTGCCAATAATCTATTTCATGGTCAGACATGCAGAGGTCTTTAAAAACATCTATATTTTAAATGAGATACATCTTCCTTTCCTCGCTTGGAAATACTTCATCTAATGTAAATGATGAGTAATCATCCTATCATAGTAACCTGTGATGGAAAATTTCTATCTTAGTTGTTATACTTGGCAAAATTTTTATAAGCCACTGAAAACACATCTTGTATGTGGAAGTATCAAGCAACTCTGTTATCTAATGGTACTGCTTCAGTTTCTAAGTGTCTGTTTTTCTTTTCTGCGGTTTTGATAAGAATAAACTGTAGCCCCTTTTGCATCTGTCAAACCTTAACTGTGTAGCTTAGTTACCAGAATTAACGTGCCTGAAAGAAATCCTTCTATACCTTTGAAGGAAAAGGAGCAAGTATTGGATGACACACTGGAAGTCTTAGGCATTCTGCTTTTTATTAGCATAATACTTGATTTCTTTATCCCTTATCCCTTAACTTCAGAAGAAGCTTGTCACTACCGTGAATATTGTGCGCTGAGCCACAAATGTCTCCCCACCTCCCCACCCCCTTTCCCTTACTGAAGATTGTGGAAATACAGAAATACTTCTTCATTTCTTTTTTTAATGAATTACGGTATGCAAGTGCTGCTTCTTATAGTACTTAGTAATTGTCACTGGAGTGTATTATGTTATTTACTGGCATAGGGGAACTGACATGGGAAGCAGATAAACTTGTGTAAAGTCACAATGGTTTTTTTTATGTTAGCAGTGTTTAGAGAATTTAACTCTCAGTTGCTGGAGTAGTGAGCAAGTGGTTGTGCAAAGAGAATGTTACCTGGGTTTATTTTCTGATCTGTTTCAACAAAGGTAGAACAAGTGTGTTGTATGTGCTTGCAGATGTTTTACTGCAGTGTTTTTATCTGATATTATTGACTGTTTCCCCTCTTACTGTGGTTAAAAATATTCTTGTAGTCTATCTCCTTCTCCCTTCCCATAGGAAAGAGCCCGAATCTTCTCTTGTCTTCAAGTCATTGATCGTTTGTCCCTAAGAAATTTGAATGAGGGTCACTGCAACTTCTTAATCTGGTTTTGCTGCCTTTGCTTAAGTTAATTGTCATCACTGCTTCTTTTTCCCTCTTCTGAATGATAATAAAGCTTTTCTTTGTCCTTCCTCCCTTCCTCCTCTTCCCCTTTTGCATCCTTCCCTCCCCATTTTCCTATGTTTTTACTGTTTCTATGGCACATTACATCAATCAGTCCAAGCAGCCCATTAACTTTCCAGAAGAGGAAGCTGAATTGACTCCTGTAAGTTATTATGACATGTTTATATGGCTTCTATTTATGTCAATAGTTGTGTCAATTTGCCTGCAACACAAAAATCACATTAGTGACTCGAATTTAATTCATTAGTATCCCAACAGTGCAGTAAGGTACCTATGTGTATATCATTATAGTCAAGCTTTTTAGTCTTAAGTTGATCATTACCAATTTTCTAGTTATTGATTGGGCAAGGCTCTCTAAAATATACTTAACTTTTCTCCTGAAGCATGATTGCTCTTGGCAGTCATAGAATCATAGAATAGTTTAGGTTGGAAAAGACCTGTAAGATCGTTGAGTCCAACCATTAACCTAGCACTGCCAAGTCCACCTCTAAACCATATCCCTAGGTACTGCATCTATGCTTCTTTTAAATATCTTCAGGGACAGTGACTCAACCACTTCCATGGGCAGCCTGTTCCAATGCTTAACAACCCTTTTGGTGAAGAAATATGTCCTAATATCCAATCTAAACCTCTCCTGCCAAAACTTGAAGTTGTTTTGTCCTGTTCTATCGCTTGTTGCTTGGGAGAAGAGACCAAGACCCACCTCACTACAACCTCCTTTCAGTAGTTGTAGAGAATGATAAGGTCTCCCCTCGGCCTCCTTTTCTCAAGACTAAACAACCCCCATTGCAACAGAAAGCAGAAAATGGATTTTTTTTTTTTTTAATTGGATGTTTGTAATTTTATCTTGTGTGCTTTTACATATCCATGCGAATACATAAATCTCAAAGAGTTTGCAAAAAAAAATTTCAGGTCTCGTTTCCCATCTTTGTCCCTCTTTGGGACAAAATGACATAAATTGTTTCAACTGGTTTTAATTCTTGAGTTCTCTTTGAAAAACAATGGATTCCAATTTTTTAAGCTGGAGTCTAAAGAATTCAGTGTACTGATATAGTTAAAATGAAAGCTATTGTTGTTATCTTTTCAAAAAAGTTTGCAAGCATATAGCTATATTGGATGCTGCTTACTCAGTTTCCCTTGTTTTAGTTTGTTTCTTAGGGACAGGAGGAGACATTTAAAAAAGACTTTTGTAGTGTTTCTCAACTATTGTTAAATCCAGAATAGTGGCACAAGAGTGCCACCAACTGGTTTAATTAGATGTGTGTATTAATGTTAAATTATTTAAGAGTTCTGCAAGAAATGTTGCAAGATACTGATGTACACAAGTCCTCAGTGTCTTGTCATTGTCTTTTTTTTTTTTTTTGATGTACTGAAGTAAGTTATTCTGTTGTACATACCTTGATGAGTGATGTCTTTGAACCTACATTTGACTAGCAAGTTTTTCTATTTAACATATTTAAGGCACTAGAACAATAAGATAAAATACCTTAGAAGTTTGCTAGGTCATCTTTTTTGATATGAGTGTGTTTGTCAAGGTTTTGCAAAAATGTGTAAGTAGAATTGAAGAAATGAGGCAATGTATATACCACGTTCCCTGTGAACTGATGGCCTTCTACAGTTGCAAGGTGGGCTACACAGCCAGCACCCTTCCGAACCTAGCCAGACAGCTCAGCTTATCACCTCTGCTAAAAGGATCTTTATTTCTTAAAATCCGCCCATCAGTTACTGTCTGCAAAAAGTAATTCTAAAATGCTCATTAATTTTAGTTTATAAATCATACCAGATTTTGTTTGTTTTGGTTTTTTTTAAATTTTTTTTTAATCTAAGACCTGGGAACCTCAAGAATTAAAACAACCTGCTAAACTTTTCAAAAGGGAACTGGCAAGGATTATAGGGGAGAAAACCCTGAACTTTTGACCATGTAGAAGATTACTTGTCGTTTAGTGTAGTGCAGCCAATTATGTTCTGAAAATCTGAAAGGTATTTTTGTTTTCCTAGTGGTCCATCTGTTCTGTCATGTTTAGCAAACATGTTTTGTAGATGTAGGGCTGGTGATGGGTATAAAAATGTTTCAGCATTGAAAAAAACCTTTCTGGTATAAGCAGAGTAAGAGGAGTATTGTGTTGAATTCTCTGAAAACACTGTGAAATGCAATATTCAACAGCTGGTCCATGAACTTCTGGTATTTAGGCCTGAAGATAATGGATGTTACATTCCTGTCTTCAAAGAAAGGATATAGGAAATCTTTGAAGTCAAAAACGTAATTTGGAACAAGACTATATTCCATGTTTTTATAAAGGCTAGCTGTCTTTGAATGAACTACAAATGAAAACTATTTAATTTTTTTTGCCCTAACAGTATCTAGAACTTTTAAATGTTAATGTTAATTTTACTCAGATGTAGTTATCTATGTTGTGATTATCCATACCAGCTAAAATTTGTTATGGAGACATTAGTAGGCTTTTTTTGTTTGGTTGGTTGGGTTTTTTTGTTAGTTCTGGTATTTTGATCATCAGATGGCATTTTTAATGTAAAAATATTCCCGTAGTTTATACTTTTGTGAACAACTGTTTTGTCATCCCTTGGGAAAGGTATAAATTTTATTTTATAGAACATTAACGTTCTAATCAGCATATCTTTTCTAGTATTTTGGGGATTTTTTTAGTTACTATTTTTAACATCCATAGTTTTCAGTGTGACTTGGAATAATTGCTGCTTGGAGTTACAGTAGAAGCCAGTCCAAAACAGTCACCATTGCAATGTCTGCTTATACGTCTTGTATAAAATGAGTTAAAAACATAATTTTCATATTTTTTGTTAGTTTTCTTTTCACTATTTTTTCTCTGTACAGGTCTTTTGTAGTAAATTGAGATTCTCAAACTTGTTCAAAGTCTGTTCTGTATCATGAGGAAGCACTAAAACATAATTGAATAGCTTTTTGTGTATTGTGTAAAAATTGTTCCCAAAGAAGTGGTTTTGGCAGGAAAAGAAGTTACAAGTGTATTCAATACTTGATCATAGGCTTCGTATTTGCTTTTTTAGGGAAGGTAAAGTATCTTCTGAAGATTATAAATAAACAAACTTAGTGAGGTTCAGTCTTCAGCACTGCTAGTGTTATGGCCTGTCCAGTGTTACTGTTGTAAAGTCTTGTAGCATAGTTTATATTGTCAGATTTTTCACTTAAACAGTTTCTGTGGAAGTGCAAATTACATTATTTGATGATGTGACATGGAGAAAAAGTTCTTGTTGCCTCTTAAGAAACTTCTTAAAGCCCTATTATGTTTAGCTTCCTGGATGCTCATCAGGCTATGCTATTTTGAGTTCTTCCTGAGCAGTGGTAGTATTAGATTAACTGGGAATTCTAAGTGCAGTCTGACTCTGTATTAATAATTTAAAATATCCAAATATAAGTGCTGGTTTTAAAATTCTGTTATTGGCAGTGGTTTTATAGATCCCCTTTTAGTAGAAAATTTTAACATCTACTAATGCCTATTAAGTGATTTCTTTCTACAGATAGAAATAAGAAATAAGCTTTTTCATTTGCACTGCATTAGCATTCGTCTTTTTATGCAAAAACTTATGAAGAGGTATGGCTGTAACTGGTGGCTGATTTTTATTGAGAAAGCTATCCTATAAATACAAAATATAGCTTTAAAAAACCTTCTAGTAAAGAGTTATTAGCTGGCTTTGGACTGTGCTCACATTTCACTATTTGGGTTTGCCCCCTTAGTTAAGTGCTGGCCTAGAAATATGTGATCTTTTAAAGAATTTGGTAAATAAATTAGGCATCAAGTCTTTAACTCGGTGTTATTCATCTTGAATAAGCTTCACTGAATATGTTAGTGAATGCAGCTATTAAATAGTCTTCCAACACTGTTTCAACCTAGGTCTTGTATAACATGCTTACTACAAAGAACTGCACATTTTTACCTTCTCTGAAGCTTTTGTCAAATTTTGATACTTTCATGATGTTTCAAGCTACTTCTGCTTTCCAAGGATATTTTAATATTCTAGTTGTGTGACAATTTTTTAAAATGTTAAACTAAAAGTATCCATTATGAGAAATGATGGCCTTGTACTGTGGAAGCAGTCAACTTACTGCAACAGGATAGAAAAAAGCACAGCATTGGGGCTGGGTAGGGGAGACAGGACATGCTACTTTGTGTAATTGGAATTGTTTTTATATCCTGAATGAACCCAAGGCAGTGCACTGTGGGAGAGGCTTCTTTGTTGTCAGGGCAAGAGTGCTCGTCATTGTGACGAGAGCAGGTGGAAGGAGAACAGATGCTTTTCATAGTGGGAGACTAGAAATGTCTGCCTTGGAGTATTTAATGTTTTGGTTTTGTTTTCCTAGATTTCATTGGTGTTATTTTTAGTCTGAAAAAGCACTTGGGGCAGAAAAGTACGTTAATTTATTGGGAAAGATCAGACACTTATATTGTCAGAGCTTTGATATGTATTTGAACTCCAGAAGTAGAGAGCAAGAGTGGGCTATTTAGATCCTCTGTGTGGTCCAATGTGATTGTAGTATCTTAAGAAAAAATATTAATATTCCCCTGAACAATGGAATATTCCTAGCAGCCTGTATTAAAGGCAAACACATCTGTTCACATCAAGGCTTGATATTTGAGCTGAAGTCTTTCCTTTGAAATAGATTAAATGCTTTAAAACTGTGGATTGTGAGTAACCCGTCCTTGTTCTAAAATGAAATTTAATGTTTTTCTTTCTCTAATGGTTCATGCAGGTCATATATTTAAAAAATGTTAAGTGCACATAGTTGTTGTTTAGCTAAGCTATAATTCCTAGAACTTGGGCTTTCCTGTTGCTTTGCTGCTTCTGCTCGTTCTAACTTTTGGGTATCTGCAGTACTGCAGAATGTGTTGTGCAGTAGGAAGGAGCCATGCATAAAAGGTGTCAGTCAAAAAACTGTTGCCTTCCTGTTTCTAGACATGTCTCTCCAGCTCAGATTCACATAGGTAGCTGTCATCTCACTGTTTGTTCACATTTTACTGGCCAACATCTGTTCCCATGAAATACCATCATTCTTCATTTCCTCAGTAACTTGCCTGTGATTGTCTTTTTGCATATTTTGTTGCAAGTCTGGAAAGTAGTGTTAGCAAATTCCCCAGTGGTTATTTTTGTAAGAAATATATGGCATTCCCATTTCTGGATAGAAATTCCTTACTGAAGAAAAGTACTGTACTTAAATGTGAGATGGCAACAGCCAAAATGAGCAGTGATAGGAAGAAGGTTAAATTATCTGCCTCCAGCTTCTCTGTAGGAGAAATGGTCTCCATCAAATAGTATTTCCTTTACAGAGAGATTCAGTATCCCCTCTTTATCCTGACACTTTTGTGGACTGATAGGCTAAGTAGAGAAGGTGGCTAAACTCTTAAGGAGGAGCCTACAAATGTACTTTGTAATGTTCTTCCTACTGCAGTGCTCCAGTCATCAAGAAAAAGTGATCCATATTAGTTGGAGCCCATGATGTCTGACAAGAACTGTATCAAGAAACTCTTTAAAAGAATGTCATTGAACTTGTCTTTGGGGTTTTATGTATGTTTTTGAGCTTTGGATTGAACCAACCAATTTATTCCAGAATTTCTGTAGTATTACATTGTAATGACACCATTCTAAACTGACTTTGTGTGAAGTTAGAGCTTCTGTGTAGGAAAGGTTACAATTAAGTGTAAAAATGCACCTAGCAGAAATAATAAAAAGAGGATCAGTCTGCCTTGAATTTAAGCAAAGCTACATAATTTGCCAGCAATGTTAGCATCACCTCAGGCTAAGTAAATGAAGTGTGCTTTAAATGATAGCCTTTCTTAAGTATCATTGAAGTTGCTGGAAATCCTGTGTATGTAGAAAATGCAGAATGTATTAGTTCATTGGTCCCAAATGATATGATCATGTATATTGGGAACTCTAATCAGAGAATTCTGTGTGACTGCAAACAATGCATGAGACCTTTTAATTATACCAGGTCCTGCATCACAAAGCTCTTGTCATTGTCTGCTTGAGGTGTGAAAAATTTGTCACTAGGCAGCACTGCTGTACTTCTAAAACATACAATGTAGACACAGACAGTAGTTAATCTGCAGGCAGAAAAATCTTCATTCAGTCTGTAGCATAAGCTGTATTAGTGGCTGAGAACTAGATAGAGCTTGGGCTAGAGCCTAGGTTTTACTTCAGATGCTGTGTAGAGGCTTTTCTGAGCTGTAACTTTTAAAGCCTGCTAGAGATCCTTAATTACTCATCCCAGCATGTGACAGTCACATCAAGTAAACTCCACCTGCAGGAACTGTGTTCACCAAACTATTTGGTATTGCCTTGCATGAAGCTGTAGACACATATGTTTGTGTAATGGAAGTAGAATGTTTGGGTTTAGAAGACTGGACAGAATTTTGAAATGCATTGTAAGTGCATGTTTTCTTACTTTTATGGTTCTAAATGTCTTTAAAAATAAGTTGTCTCTTGCAGAAAAGAAACCAGTAGCAGGTAAGCAAAACTTTTCCTAATTCTATTGTATGACATTGTGTACAGGGGGAGATTAAAATAGTGTCTTCTATTAGGACAACTGCTTTTGTACTAGTGTGTTAGGCTCATAATATTTGGGAATGTTGACATTTTTATGGGAGGGAAATAAAGTGATGACATAAGGTTTTTTTCATTAAACTCTGCTTTATCTTCTGTAGTCAAGACACTATAAAATTACTATATTGACTTCTTTTGACTTATGTTATTTTTCTTTCTTTCTGTGCAAGCACTCCTATTTGGACAGGGAAACCTCCCTTCTTCTGAGAAACATTGCAGGAAAGCCTTCTCATTTGCTGACCAAGGTGATTCTTCTTCTTTCCACCTGTATGTGACTATTCTGTGTAGAAAGAATGCTTTTGGTGTGTGCTATGCTCCTCCCACCCTTGCCCTTTCCAGGAACTTGTGCATTTACTTGCATGTGTTTCCTGATTGTCCAAGGTGCTTTTAAAGGCTGAATTTTATTGGCTATTTCTGCAGATTTATCAAAGTGTTCAAGTTCTTGGCAAATACTTAATGTATTGTACCTGTCAGCAGGTGAAATGCCTTAGCTGAAAAGGAAATGTACTGAGCTAGAAGTTCTTTTGTTCCTATTCCCATTCACTTGTTTAAAAAAAATTGAAAAGATCACAACTGTGGAAAATATGTGGGAGTATTCAGTACTTTTTAAAAGCAGTAATATCCTTAAAATAAGTTCATTTTGATGTATTGAAGATAAACTGTAGTAAGTAATGGCTTTAAAAAAAAACCCAAAACCAAAACAAAAAAAAAGGCAAACCAAAAAACCCCAACATTTTGAATGGTGTCTTGATATAATACGGGGAGAATATCCTAGTGAGACAGTGGTCTAATGAGCCATATGTACAAATCCTGCTTAAAAACCAATTTTCTTTTCAGGAAAGTGGTCAGTAATGTACTAAGAGAGCACAAATTGCCATTCAGTTTAAGAATTGTATTTTCTATACATATTTCATTTTGAAACTAGAGTAGGAGGGATGGAACAAACTGTAAATCTCCTTGATAAAAAAACAAGCTGGGATGAAGAACATACAGCTTCATGTTGTTGACAAAACTCTGAATGTTTAGTAGCTGAGGTGTCAGATGTGTCTGGTGCTACTACCTACTACAAACCACTCCTTGGGTTATTTTTCTAAAATAGACCCTCTAGAGGAGAAACCTCAGGCAAACCTGAAGGGACAAAATGTACCTTGGAAACTTCAAAACAATAAGGATAATGTTTGCTGAGTGTAAGTAGTCTGTATTTTCCAATAAAAGTTTAGAACAAGTTTATTGCCTTTTCTTAAATACTTGCCATTCTTCTCAAAAAGCTCAGCGTGCTGCACCTTTACAACAGATTTTCAGACTGTCTTCTAGAGAAGTATAAACAGCCAAAACCAAGGAATTTTCTTCTCTTGTGATTGTTTTGCTTAAAATTTAAATCCGTACCTCTTTCCTTTCCCCCGTCAGCTCCTTGCCCCCGCACCCCCAACAAAGCAAACAGCCACCAAACCAGCAAACCTTGCTTGATTGCAAATAGATTAACAACGGCTGTGTCACAAACCAAAACCATAATTTTCCCTCTTTCATCTCCATGTGTTTTCATATCCTCTCTTTTGGTTATTTATATTCAGGACGAGTGTTGGTTAGCATATGCAACTTCAATTAAAAAAATGCATAAAATATTAAGTCTGTTGCATCATATGACCACGGACAACCTCATATCAGTGATTCTAATAAACTCCTGAAGTTAAATGTTTGGATTTATAAATCTTTGGCCTATTAGATTTTGTAGTCCTGTGAGTCAGGTGCTTTTGGTGAGCTTGCTGATGTTCTGAGGATAACGTTTGTTGTCATCTCAGTTTAGGACTGTATCAATATAGCTATACCCTCTGCTTTGGAATACTGAACACAGAGTCCTCGTGTGGATACTTACTGCCTCTCTTCTCACTGACCTCCTGCAGAGAGAAATATCTTTATTAAAATGATAAAATGGAAGTCTACTGCTTAGATCTCTTCAGCTTGCTGTAACATTAGATAAGCCCCAATATGAGAGGAGCAGTCCCAAGAAATGGGGCTTTTCCTTGCAATTGTAGCATGGTGCTAGATCAGTTAACTGTAGGATCATCTTGCAGCTGTATGCTGGTCTCTCTGGTGTGTCAACTATTTTTTTATTAATCATAGAATCATAGAATGGTTTGGATTGGAAGGGACCTCAAAGATCATCTACTTCCAATCCCCCCGCCTTCAGCAGGGACACCCTTCACTAGATCAGGTTGCTCAAAGCCTCATCCAGCCTGGTCTTAAACACTTCCAGGGAGGGGGCATCAACAGCTTCCTTGGGCAACCTGTTCCAGTGTCTGACCACCCTTACAGTAAAGAACTTTTTCCTAATATCTAATCTAAACCTGCCCTCTTTCAGTTTAAACCCATTTCCCCTTGTCTTGTCATGAACTGCCCTTATGAAAAGTCCCTCCCCAGCTTTCTTGTAGCCCCTTCAGGTATTGGAAGGCCGCTATGAGATCTTCCCGGAGCCTTCTCTTTTTCAGGCTGAACAGCCCCAACTCTTTCAGCCTGTCCTCATAGGAGAGGTGCTCCAGCCCTCGGATCATCCTGGTGGCCCTTCTCTGGACTTGTTCCAACTGGTCCATGTCTTTCTTGTGTTGGGGGCTCCAGAACTGGACGCAGTACTCCAGGTGGGGCCTTACAAGAGTGGAGTAGAGGGGCAGAGTTATTGTTTTATTGTTTCTTGTATTCTTCTCCTTCTTTAATCTGTCTGCCTCTTATGTTGAGACTGGAGACGCTTTGGGAAAATAACACCATTCTTGTCCTCTGTTAATAAAACTAATTGTAAAAATTCTGGTCATGGACTAGATTCCTTTTACATTACAACAGTACACAAACACAGTTCCTGTTGCAGCTTATGGCAGACCTCAGCACAGAAAATGATCTATTAATTGTGAGGGTCTCTTAATTTTCTCTTCATTTTCATAATTCTGTGTGTTATTGTTCACCCAACATTCGAACCTTTTTTTGAAAACAGAAGTGAAAGCATATCAGTGAAGTTATTGAATATTGAAAATAAAGCAATGTATCTTTAATGTCAAATCTGCAAGCTTTTTTTCCTATAGGGTTGAAATTAAGCAATCAAATGAATACTGAAAACTAAGCTTATGGATGTGAAATATAGAGTGCATGCATATAACTTTGAGAGTATTAAAATATATCCCAGTTTACAACAGGAAATAGAAATGTTCCTGAAACAGGAAAACTAAGTGTAACATACTGGATTTAGAAGTTACTATTTCTTCTACCATTCTGATGTATGTGAAGCTGAAACTACATTTGGGAAGCCAGATGGTGGTTTCATGATATAATGCTTCAGATATGTATGTCAGCATCTGGAGAAAAGGAATCAGGTTAGGCCCTCTCTTCCCAAATATCTCTTCTTGTTGACATGAAAGGCAAATATTCTTCTTATGGATGTTGATTCCCCTGGTTTATACATTTTGATTACTCCACGCTGTATTCCCGTCAGACCTTTGAATAAATCAGTTGTGAAGTTGACTTTGTGCATCTGACTCAGATATGCTTGTTCTTGAATGAAGCATCTCTTTGAGATTTTTTTTTTAATGCAGTTTGAAAATGAAGCAATTGATTCCTAATATGCAAACAAAGATCTGAAAACTCCAGCCTCCTACAGACAGTTTTTGAGGAAGTTGTGAAGGCCATACCTGGAAACCACAAAAAGGATGTAGGTGGTTAGTAGCAGGGTTTTGTGCAATGCTGAAAATTATTATATACATTTTTTATTCAACAAGCTGCTTTGTACTAGTCTGCTGTGATTATTGTGATGTTCCTGTGTAGTTTTAATGTCATCTTTATCTTGGAATTAATTTTAATAAGCTATTATGGACACACTGTTAGACAAACAGGCTATGTTCTCAAGTATGTGTTGTGTTCCGCAGATCAGTTGAGCTTCTTTTCTCCAGCTAAAACTCCTTACCAGTCAGTCTTAGTGCCTCATCTGTTTATCTTGTAGTCTTTATACTCTCAGACTTCCTTACTGCAGTTTCTAAGGCCTATTCTCCCTCCTGGTTTGGGTGTTGGTTTTTTTTTCCCTCTCCCCTTTCCTTCCCCTTTCCTACTTTTTCCTGGTCCCATTTCTAGTACCTTTTCTCCTATAACTATTTGCTTATGTAGCCCCATTGAGAAGCTGCGCCTGTTCAGAGGCAAGCAGGACAATAACCTAATGCAGGTAGATTCTTCAAGCGATAAAGAGCCAATTAAATACCTTGCAAATGTGTTGTGGGGTTTTTTTTTCTTCATTACAACTAGCTTTGTCAAATCTAGTTTGAGTATTCTTTCAGGGGCACAACAGAATGTATGTCCCTGCTGGATAAGATTCTATTCTGCCATACCCTGAAGCATACCTTCAAAATGCCACAAAGTCTAGCTGGAGGCCATTAACCAGTGATGCACCCCAGAGGCCAATACTGGGTCCAGTACTTTTCAACACCTTCATTAATGATATGGATGGTATGGCAAGCGCTAACCCTAATTTCTGTGTCAGACTTGGACTAAGTCCCCCACCTCTGACCCACACCAAAAATGACTCCTCAGCCCTGATCTCTCTGTTCCAGCTTGCCTTTGGCTGCCCCATTCCAGTTCCACTCTAGACACTCTCTTTTGGTCAGCTCATAACCTATAGACAAGCTAAGCCTCAGAAACAAGCTGTTGATGTATGGGATGGATAAGGAGACAGTGAGGTAGACTGAAAATGGGTTTATATAGGCTGGGCCCAGAGGGTGGTGATCAGTGGCACCAAGTCTATTTAGAGGGCAGTAACTAACAGTGTACCCCCGTGGGCAGTACTGGGTTTAGTCCTCTTTAACATCTTCACTACTGATCTGGATGATGCAGCAGAGAGCAAGTTTGCTGATGACACCAAACTGTCAGGAGGGGCTGTGATGCCAGAGTGTTGTGCTGCTATCCAGAGAGACCTTGACAGGCTGGAGAAATGAGTTGTCAGGAATCTCACAAAGTTCAGCAGAGGGAAATGTGAAGTTCTGCACCAAAGGAGGAACAGCCCTGCTGTACGCAAGTCCATGCTGGGGACCAGCCAACTGGAAAGCAGCTCACCAGGAAAGGACCTGGGGATCCTGGTGGACACCAAGTTGACAATGAGCCAGCAGTGTGCCCTTGCAACAAAGAAGGCTAATGGTATCTTAGGCTGCATTGGGAGTAGTGGTGCCAGCAGGTGGGTGAAGATGATCCTTCACCTCTGCTCAGCACTGATGGGGCCATG